CACATCACAAGTGCTGAACCTGATCTTGCACTTCACAAGTGCTGAACCTGATCTTCCACTTCACAAGTGCTGAACCTGATCTTCTACTTCACAAGTGCTGAATCTGATCTTCCACTTCACAAGTGCTGAACTTGATCTTGCACTTCACAAGTGCTGAACCTGATCTTGTACCTCACAAGTGCTGAACCTGATCTTGCACCTCACAAGTCCTGAACCTGATCTTGCACCTCACAAGTGCTGAACCCAGTCTTGTACCCCACAAGTGCTGAACCTGATCTTGCACTTCACAAGTGATGAACCTGATCTTACACCTCACAAGTGCTGAACCTGATCTTGCATGTCACAAGTGCTGAACCTGATCTTGTACCTCACAAGTGCTGAACCTGATCTTGTACATCACAAGTGCTGAACCTGATTTTGCACATCACAAGTGCTGAACCTGATCTTGCACATCACAAGTGCTGAACCTGATCTTGCACTTCACAAGTGCTGAACCTGATCTTCCACTTCACAAGTGCTGAACCTGATCTTGTACCTCACAAGTGCTGAACCTGATCTTGCACATCACAAGTGCTGAACCTGATCTTCCACATCACAAGTGCTGAACCTGATCTTGCACTTCACAAGTGCTGAACCTGATCTTGCACATCACAAGTGCTGAACCTGATCTTGCACATCACAAGTGCTGAACCTGATCTTGCACATCACAAGTGCTGAACCTGATCTTGCACTTCACAAGTGCTGAACCTGATCTTGCACTTCACAAGTGCTGAACCTGATCTTCCACTTCACAAGTGCTGAACCTGATCTTCCACTTCACAAGTGCTGAACTTGATCTTGCACATCACAAGTGCTGAACCTGATCTTGTACTTCACAAGTGCTGAACCTGATCTTGCACTTCACAAGTGCTGAACCTGATCTTGCACATCACAAGTGCTGAACCTGATCTTGTACATCACAAGTGCTGAACCTGATCTTCCACTTCACAAGTGCTGAACCTGATCTTCCACTTCACAAGTGCTGAACCTGATCTTGTACCTCACAAGTGCTGAACCTGATCTTGTACCTCACAAGTGCTGAACCTGATCTTGTACATCACAAGTGCTGAACCTGATTTTGCACATCACAAGTGCTGAACCTGATCTTGCACATCACAAGTGCTGAATCTGATCTTGCACTTCACAAGTGATGAACCTGATCTTGCACCTCACAAGTCCTGAACCTGTTCTTGCACCTCACAAGTGCTGAACCCAGTCTTGTACCCCCCAAGTGCTGAACCTGATCTTGCACTTCACAAGTGATGAACCTGATCTTACACCTCACAAGTGCTGAACCTGATCTTGTACAAGTGCTGAATCTCGAAGGTCTGCCCACCTCCTCCTGGCTGCTTCCCACCCTGGTCTGTCTCTTAGTGCGGAAGGACAGCGAGGTGTCGTTCTCCGGGAAGTTCAACACCACAACGCGGGGCCCCCGCGGATGGACGACAGCGTTACCCATGTCGGCTTTCAGGGCAAAGCTCCTGGGAGAACTGGGAGATGCAAGGAAGGCAGGAAAGCACGGCAACCGCCCCAGCATTCTGATCAGCCTGAGGTCACAAAGGGATCATCACCCGGTTCCCAAGACTCTCCAGGCAGAACAAGATCTTTGTATTGTACCCGCCATCGGCCATTACATCACACAAGACACAACCTTGAGAAGTATAATAAGCACTTTCCAAGACAAATATTAATACTTCCTCCTTATTCTGGCTCTTTGAAATTATAGTCGTAGTGACATGATAACAGTCACCAATGTCTGATGTGTATCATCCCAAACGATCTCCATTTCCATGTTTAGCCTCCGCTGTGGACTTTACTACGAGAGTAGAATGAAAAGTCATGCCTCCACCTTCCTTACTTGGGTTTGGATGGGAATATTTTAATAAATCAAACGCAGAAATAATCCTAAGAATGTGCTCTTTAACTACCACGATTCACTTTTCCACAAAATCACCAGACAATTGGATACATTTCTGCTAACAATGTTCTTCTTTAGCTTTAAATTTCGACATTCATTAAGACTTCATCTTCTGTGCCACAATCCAATCCTAATCTTGCTTTTGCAGGGAGAATTGAGCCTCTCCATCATCTGCTGATGTCGCCTATTGGATTTCTGTACTGACCATCAAGCATGTTTCAATCATGAAAACGAACAAAATCTGGCTACCAGTATTAAAAAAAACTCTAAAATTGCAACAGCACAACAACAGAGAGGACCTCCTCCTGGCAGGCAGAGACATCTAATTACCTCTCAACAAAAGTTTGCTCCAGGCACAGACAGCCCATTGTATGCTAATCAAGGTGGTCAGTTGAAACATTCACACCTAGCTCCAGCAGACAAGAGTCCTTTGTCTCACCCTGGTCATTCCACAGATATATAAACCCTTTTTCCTAGTTCCAACAGACCTCACTACCTCTGAGGATGCTTGCCATATATGCAGGCAAAACGTCAGGAGAGAATGCCTCTAGACCATGGCCATACAGCCCGAAAAAACCTACAATAACCCAGTGATACTGGCCATGAAAGGCTTCGACCAAAAATCCTTAGATTATTCACTTTTCCACAATGCTAACAATGTTCTTCTTTAGCTTTAAATTTTGGCATTGAGACTTCATCTTCTGTGCCACAATCCAATCCTAATCTTGCTTTTGCCGGGAGAATTGAGCCTCTCCATCATCTGCTGATGTCGCCTCTTGGATTTCTGTACTGACCATCGAGCAACATGCAAATAAACAAATAAATAATGTAGCGTGTTCTGTCACGCGCTGGGCCTGTAATCGTTGTCTTTTGAAATACGACGTGGGACTTGAGCCCAGCGGGAAGCCAGGGCCCCCCGAAGAGGTTTTCCACCACAAATGATCTTTAGATGGCTTGTGAAGTATAACAAAGTCCTTTATTAATGAACAATCAAACAGAAACTTTTCTTGTCTTCAGTAAAGTTAAACAAATGAGTCCAGGCCTTTATGCATCAATAGGAGCATAGTGTCTAAGTCCAGGGAAGTCATGCTCCCCATGCTCTATTCCGCTTTGGTTAGACCACACCTGGAATATTGTGTCCAATTCTGGGCACCACAATTCAAGAGAGATATTGACAAGCTGGAATGTGTCCAGAGGAGGGCGACTCAAATGATCAAGGGTCTGGAGAACAAGCCCTATGAGGAGCGTCTTAAGGAGCTGGGCATGTTTAGCCTGAAGAAGAGAAGGCTGAGAGGAGACATGATAGCCATGTATAAATATGTGAGAGGAAGCCACGGGGAGGAGGTAGCAAGCTTGTTTTCTGCTTCCCTGGAGACTAGGACGCATAACAATGGCTTCAAACTACAAGAGAGGAGATTCCATCTGAACATGAATAAGAACTTCCTGACTGTGAGAGCCGTTCAGCAGTGGAACTCTCTGCCATGGAAGTGTGGTGGAGGCTCCTTCTTTGGAAGCTTTTAAACAGAGGCTGGATGGCCATCTGTCAGGGGTGATTTGAATGCAATATTCCTGCTTCTTGGCAGAATGGGGTTGGACTGGATGGCCCATGAGGTCTCTTCCAACTCTTAAGATTCTATGATTCTATACAACTGGTGGCTTCCTAATCTTGTCCGCGAAGGACTGGCAATTGTCTTCAAAAACTGATTCTTTAATTTAAAGGAAAATCCCCTTTTTAACTTCTCCCAGGCTGACTGTAATCTAACCCTTACTGATGTGGGCTCCGCTACCGGGTCGAACTGCGTCTCGAAACACCGAGTGGACCTACCAGTAAGGCCAGTAGATTCTCCAGCTGGAGTTCTTTGATCTTCCAAACTGTTCACCCTAAGAAATTCCTCAAAGCTTCGGGGATGTTTCCCTGGAAATCTTTGGAGATCTTTGGATGCTCTTAAGACTCTTCTCCTCCGGAAAGTCTTAAGGGTTGAAGCTTTTGTACAGGAGAAGCTTGTACACATCCTCTACATTAGCTTTCCTTACTGAGATTTACTGAGACTTCCTTACTGAGACTAACTAAAAACTAGGAAAAAGGGTTTATATATCTGTGGAATGACCAGGATGAGACAAAGGACTCTTGTCTGCTGGAGCTAGGTGTGAATGTTTCAATCATGAAAATGAACAAAATCTGGCTACCAGTATTAAAAAAAAACTCTAAAATTGCAACAGCACAACAGAGAGGAAGCAAAACAACAACAAAAGTTTGCTCCAGGCACAGTCAGCCCATTGTATGCTAATCAAGGTGGTCAGTTGAAACATTCACACCTAGCTCCAGCAGACAAGAGTCCTTTGTCTCACCCTGGTCATTCCACAGATATATAAACCCTTTTTCCTAGTTCCAACAGACCTCACTACCTCTGAGGATGCTTGCCATAGATGCAGGCGAAACGTCAGGAGAGAATGCCTCTAGACCATGGCCATACAGCCCGAAAAAACCCTACAACAACCCAGTGATACCGGCCATGAAAGCCTTCGACAATAAATCCTTAGATTATTCACTTTTCCACATAATCACCAGACAATTGGATACATTTCTGCCAATGATGAACAAGTTTTCCAAAGCCGTCGCAGAAGAAGTCAACACTCTGTTTCCGCAACCAGTTCTCTCAACGTCTTCATCAGAAGCATAACGATGTCCCCGCAGATCTTCTTTCATTATCGGGAACAGATGGAAGTCAGGCGGTGCTAAATCTGGACCGTATGTTGACCCGGTTTGTTGAGTTTTGGACTAGATTACTATGTATGGCAATCGCAATGATAAATCAAAATGGTCGTCTAGTCCGTGAGAAATGTACTCAGGAGATGTCACGCCTTGTTGTTTGAACGAGGAATGTTGCTCCGGAATTTTGGCTTTGCGTGCTAACATGTTGCACCTGCCGAAATTTCCTCTTCAACCCAAACCCTGAGCCAAGTCTCCGTCGACTCAAGCGACAGGCGTTTTTGCTTATATACGGAGCTGTTGCACATAGCTTGAGTCTCATATCCAGCAGAGGGAGCGGAGGAGAGGTGGAAAGCGGGTGGGAGAACTGGGTGTTCGTTCGCCTCCGGTATTCATTTGCTCCCTGAAAACCTTCCCTGAAAGACCACTGAGCAAAAGACCACTTTGATCTCAAAGGAACCAAAGTCCAGTTGAAACCATGCGGAAACAGAACCTGAGCTTGGACCAAGGCAGGTAAGTGAGGAAGTCTTCCTTCCTTCTATTTCCACGTAAATAGAGGAAAACATGTCAAGTTATACTCCGAGAAGCCAAATACTATTTGCTTTGTTCCTCTGGCATTACTTGAGCAATTTGGGGTGAGTGTAGCTCCCACCAAGACAGCTAATAGTCAGGGGTAATAGGCTTTGTAGTGCAAATTTCGAAGAGTTCAACTCTCATAGTTGTCCTTTCGGTTCATGAACAATGGATCAAAATGGTGAAAGGTTTGGAAGTCAATCTCTTAAGGAGTTGGAGGTGTTAAGGAGCGCAGAGGAAAAAAAGGCTGAGGAGAGATATGTTTACGTATCTGAAAGGATGTCCCACTGAGGAAGAGGTTCGCTTTTGTGGTGTCCTACAGATACAGTAGAACAACAGATTGAAATGGCAGGAAAAGAGATTCCACCTAAAGATTAAGAGGAACTTCGTCCCGGTCAGAGCTGTTTGACAGTGAAATGTGCTGCCTGGGAATCCATTGGAGTCTCCTTCCTTCTCTGGAGGTCGTTAAACAGTGGCTGGGTAGCCATCTGTTGGGAGTGCTTTGATGGTGTCTTCCTTTATGGCTGAATTGGGGCTTCTAAGCTCCATGATTAAATCATCTATCCATTTGTCTATCTATCTATCTACCAACCATCCATCCATCTAACCATCCATCCTTCTTTCCATCTATCAAGTCATCCGTTTAACTGTCTATCATCTATCTATCTATCTGTCTGTCTGTCTGTCTGTCTGTCTGTCTGTCCGTCCGTCCGTCCGTCCATCCATCCAGCTGTCTAACCATCTATCTATCTGTCTGTCTGTCCGTCCGTCCATCCATCCATCTATCTATCCATCCATCCAGCCATCCATCTATCCATCCATCCTTCTATCCAAACCATCCATCCATCTGATCGTCTAATCATCCATCTATCCATCTATCAAGTCATCCGTCTATCTATCTATCTATCTATCTATCTATCTATCTATCTATCTATCTATCCATCCATTTATCCATCTATCTATCTGTCCGTCCGTCCATTGATCCATCTATCTATCTGTCCGTCCGTCCATCCATCCATCCATCCATCCATCCATCTATCCATCCATCCATCCATCCATCCAGCTGTCTAACCATCTATCTGTCTGTCTGTCTGTCCGTCCATCCATCCATCTATCTATCCATCCATCTATCCATCCATCCTTCTATCCATCTAACCATCCATCCATCTGATCGTCTATCCATCTATCAAGTCATCCGTCTATCTATCTATCTATCTATCTATCTATCTATCTATCATCCATCCATCCATCCATTCCATCTATCTATCTAATCTATCTATCTATCTATCTATCTATCCATCCATCCATCCATCCATCCATCCATCACCATCTATCCATTCATCTGTCCGTCGTCCGTCCGTCCGTCCGTCCGTCCGTCCATCCATCCATCCATCCATCCATCCATCCATCCATCCATTCTATCTATCTATCTATCTATCTATCTATCTATCTATCTATCTATCTATCTATCCATCCATCCATCCATCCATCTAACCATGTATTTATCTCTCTCTCTAACCATCTATTAATCCGTCCATCTAACCATCTATCTATCTATCTATCTATCTATCTATCTGTCTGTCTGTCTGTCTGTCTGTCTGTCTGTCTGTCTGTCATCTATCTATCTATCTATCTATCTATCTATCTATCTATCTATCTATCTATCTATCATTCGTCTAATCAGAAATCTATCCATCCATCCATCCATCCATCCACCTCCCTCTGGTGCCTGTCTGTCTCAAGAAGGTTGAACTGGCTCTTAGGTCTCTTCCAACTCTATTATTCTATATATGTGCGTTGTGTTTGTGTGTTAATCTTTAATTTTAGTGTACACGTGTGTTTGCTGAAACCAATTCCCCTTCCAGAAGGTAACTTGAGACTTACCATACGCTTAGCCTCATAGAAAGAAAACAGGAGAACGGTTTGGGTCAGCCGTTAACAGAGAAACAGCCACAACGGAGAAAGAGGCCCCAAATCCCKCCRCCCCCCCCCCCCACCCGATAGGTGAAGAAGGAGAGTATGAGACGGGCGATGCATCTTTGCTTCAAACATCCCCGGAGATTTAATCCTATTCCTGGTTTTCGGTCCAGATCGCTGTCGCTTTGTTTCCTTTTTCAACAGCTGCACAGCGGCGCAGATGGGAGAGGAATCTGGTTCGCTTGGCTTGGGGATGAGCCCTTGCCAAAAAGTCAGGATAGGTTTATGGAAAGTATGTGAATGTGAAGGCAAAGCTGTCAGACGACCGAGGGGGGTTTCGTACATGGGTTTTCCGGCCTTGGCATTTGGGATCGAAAGGGGTTCCCAATGTGGAGTGTTTAGAAACCCTATGGCAGTGTTTCTCAACCTTCCTAATGCTGCGACCCCTTAATACAGTTCCTCATGCTGTGGTGACCCCCAACCATAGAATTATTTTCGTTGCTACTGGTGGGGTGGGGTGGATTGATTTTGACATTTGGGATTTATAGTTCACCTAGAATCAAAGAGCATTCTGAACTCTACCGGCGATGGAATTGAACCAAACCTGGCACACAGAACTCCCATGACCAACAGAAAATACTGGAAGGTTTTGGTGGGCATTGTCCTTGAGTTTGAGAATTGTAGTTTACCTACATCCAGAGAGCACTGTGGACTCAAACAGCGATGGATCTGGAACAAACTATGCCCACATGTCAACACTGGTGAAATTTGGGGGAAATAGACACTTGACATTTGGGAGTTGTAGTTGCTGGGAGTTATAGTTCACCTACAATCAAAGAGCATTCTGAACTCCACCAACAATGGAATTGAACCAAACCTGGCACACAGAACTCCCATGACCAACAGAAAATACTGGAAGGGTTTGGTGGGCATTGTCCTTGAGTTTGAGAATTGTAGTTTACCTACATCCAGAGAGCACTGTGGACTCAAACAATGATGGATCTGGACCAAACTATGCCCACATGTCAACACTGGTGAAATCTGGGGAAAATAGACTTATATGTGGGAGTTGTAGTTGCTGGGATTTATAGTTCATCTACAATCAAAGACCAAGGGCAAGATGGATGGATGGCATCCTTGAAGTGACTGGACTGACCTTGAAGGAGCTGGGGGTGGTGACGGCCGACAGGGAACTCTGGCGTGGGCTGGTCCATGAGGTCACGAAGAGTCGGAGACGACTGAACGAATGAACAACAACAAACAATCAAAGAGCATTCTGAACTCCACAACGATGGAATTGAACCAAACTTGGCACACAGAACTCCCATGGCCAACAGAAAATACTGGAAGGGTTTGGTGGACATTGACCTTGAGTTTTGGAGTTGTAGTTCACCTATATCCAGAGTGCACTGTGGACTCAAACAATGATAGATCTGGACCAAACATGGCATGAATACTCAATATGCCCAAATGTGAACACTGGTGGAGTTTGGGGAAAATAGAATTTGACATTTGGGAGTTGTAGTTGCTGGGATTTATAGTTCACCTACAATCAAAGAGCATTCTGAGTCCCACCAATGATAGAATTGAACCAAAATTGGCACACAAAACTCCCATGACCGAAAGAAAATACTGGGTTTTCTGATGGTCTTCGGCGACCCCTCTGACACCCCCTCGCGACCCCCCTAGGGGTCCCGACCCCCAGGTTGAGAAACACTGCCCTACGGGACGGCAAGCGGATCCTAAAGAGAGGCAGAGAAAGAGAAACACCTGCCTATAAGGGGAAGTGAAGAAAGGAGCTGTTCGATTCTTTCAGACAGTAACATTAACCATCTGCCGGGGAAAAAAACAACATTCCTCCCCTCCTCTGCTCCATCCCGTGTGTCTCAACCTTCCCAATGCCGTGACTCCTTAAAGCAGTTCCTCGTGTTGTGATGACCCACAATCAGAACATTTTTTTTCGTTGCAACTTCAGAACTAATTTTGCTACTGTTACGAATCGTAATGTAAATATCGGATATGCAGGATGTATTCTCGTTCACTGGACCAAATTTGGCACAAATACCCAATAGGTCCAAATTCGAAGACTGGTGGGGTTGTGAGGTGGGGGTTGATTTGGTCATTTGGGAGTTGTTGTTGCTGGGATTGATAGTTCACCTACAATCAAAGAGCACTCTGAACTCAGACAATGATGGAATTGAACCGTATTTGGCACACAGGACTCCCATGATGGATAGAAAATACTGGAAGGGTTTCATGGGCATTGACCTTGAGTTTGGGAGTTGTAGTACACCTACATCCAGACAGCACTGTGGATTCAAACAATGATCAATCTGGACCAAACTTGGCACAGATACTCAATATGCCCAAATGTGAACGCTGGTGGAGTTTGGGAGAAATAGACCTTGACATTTGGGAGTTGTAGTTGCTGAGATTTATAGTTCACCTACAAGCAAAGAGCATTCTAGATCTAGGTCTAGGGAAGTAATGCTACCCCTCTATTCCGCTTTGGTTAGACCACACTTGGAATATTGTGTCCAATTCTGGGCACCACAATTCAAGAGAGATATTGACAAGCTGGAATGTGTCCAGAGGAGGGCGACTAAAATGATCAAGGGTCTGGAGAACAAGCCCTATGAGGAGCGGCTTAAGGAGCTGGGCATGTTTAGCCTGAAGAAGAGAAGGCTGAGAGGAGTCATGATAGCCATGTATAAATATGTGAGAGGAAGCCACAGGGAGGAGGGAGCAAGCTTGTTTTCTGCTTTCCTGGAGACTAGGACGCAATGGAGCAATGGCTTCAAACTACAAGAAAGGAGATTCCATCTGAACACGAGGAAGAACTTCCTGACTGTGAGAGCCGTTCAGCAGTGGAACTCTCTGCCCCGGAGTGTGGTGGAGGCTCCTTCTTGGGAGGCTTGGATGGCCATCTGTCAGGGGTGCTTTGAATGCAATATTCCTGCTTCTTGGCAGAATGGGTTGGACTGGATGGCCCATGAGGTCTCTTCCAACTCTATGATTCTATG